CACATGCTCACGTAAACTTTGACAATTGAATGAAAATATAGACAATCTGTTATTCTTATTGATGAAATCAAGAAATGTTTTGGTGATGGTTTGCAGAGGATTTTCATGCAAACGTTTCAATTCAATCGATAAATCTTCTCGATGAGTTGTTGATCTCTTTAGATTTTTGAATCTTCTACCTGTGCTTTTCCTACTCTGCCATGATGAAATATCCAGCTCTCCTTTGTGTTTTCTTTAGTAACTAAGAATAAACCTAAGAAACTAAAGAAACTAAACTAAGAATAAACCTTCTATGTTAGTAACTCTTGTTAATGCAACATATACCAATTCTCTTGAGTGACAACGGTCGTATTCGTAAACGATAACATCGAAAGTACCTCCTTGAGCTTTGTGAATTGTCATTGCCAAAGCGGAAATTAACGGAAAATTTTTTCTTTTTGCGAGTATAGTTTTATTTCTGTTGAGTGGTATCGAAGACGTTTGAATGAAAATCGGAACAGCGTCTTTGTCGATATTTAAGCGCGCAATGTTACTCCTATACTTTGTTGAACGTTTTTGACCTATTGACTTTGGGAATTTGAACCAAAGTCTTGTTATTGTATCATTTTCATCAAACTCTATGAGAAGAAATTTTCAAATTAAACTGGCCTTTCCAATTTTTTGATGTGTTTATGCTCTCCTGCACATGCACGCGCTATGATACGGCACAATGCTTGCGGCTACCCAAATTGGATAAACTATTTTTATATTGAAGAATATTAACAGTATGTATAAAAGCACGTGCTTACACTGTGTGAACTACGTATATACTAACGCAGGCGGGCGTTGTTGTTTTCCCGTAACTGCCGTCTGGTGCGCGCAGCTTTGATACACTAATGTATATACCACGGTACATATATATACTCGTGGTGGTGACGGCGCGGGCGGTGGCGGTGTCGCGAGATCATACTTTTTCCTCGCTCGCAAATATAACCACTATATATATATCTACTCGCGGTAGCGGTGGCGGTGTCGCAAGATCATACTTTTTTCCTCACTCGCAAATGCTTTCTTATACGGGGTGCCTAACGTGCCTAAAGAAGTTTTCACTTCAATAATAAATATAGAAAAAAACACCAGACGAGACACAATAAGCACGGGGGAGTGGTAAGTGATGGCGAAGTGTAAGGGGCTCCTGGTCACCTCTATAAGTTCTCCCGATCGGTCCCACGGGCGGACGAGTGAAGTCGACGGAGCGCATGCTCGTGGGTGACGACCATCGTAACGGAGGGCAAGGCCCGGCCGCGACGGGACGGTTGGCGGCAAGCGGCTAGTGAGGAACGACGACGACAACGACGAAGTGGTGAAGACGAGACCGTATGACATTACGACAACGAAGTCAGCGGCGGTGCAGACCAAAAACACTGAACGAGCTAAGACAGCCATATATTTGAGCTTAAGGAATCGGCAGGAGGCGCTTAAGACTCGGCCGACTGGATTACCGTTGGACGAAAACCGGAAAGAATCGGAGGACCCTCCGTGGTTTTCGTCCCGGCACGCCGAGTAGTCGCGCACCGCCGGACCCTGAAACCTTGGAACGGTTTCCGCGGGTCCCCCGGCGATGCTGACGTCCTAGAACAAATAGCTAGCCCGTCGTGTTCGGCAGTCTTCGCCACCGCTGCCGCAGTCACCGCAGTCACGGTTACGAGTCGCGTCTTAATGCACGCGCCGCAATCGTCTTCGTATTACAGCTAGCCGCCCCCGCCGCCCGCCGCTGCCTGACGCTCGCCGGATCCGCCAGCCGATGGTCTCGAGTGTCGAAATTCGCGCCCGAGTTCACGACTCCGTCGACCGCCGCTTGTCTTTCCTCGGAGTTTACCTGCAAAGAACGTATTGAGGGCGACTTACCGCCCGGACACAATGTGCTCTTTCACATACCACTCCCCCGTTTTGCCGCCGCCTCGTCTGGCGTTCCTCGGCTGAGGTGCGGGGACGGGATTCTGCTGGCCGTTATTCCCTTCGGTGGCCGCAGCAGCAAAACAGGCGTCCGGCCTGTTTTATGCCTACCCACGCCGTGGATGTGCGCCTGCCCGCCACTCGACCACCGGAACAATAGACACTGTACAGTCCAGACATCCGGTTTTCCCGCTCTTCGCCGACCTTCTGTCGACGGCCTCGGTCGGCCGGATCCCGGTGCAGTCTACTTCTTCGTTTCCGGTCTTCGCATGGTCACCGAGGTCCAGAAGTGCAGCCCGTCCACGCTGCGATTCGCACTATCCGCAAGACTGTACTTCCGAAATCTCCTCGTCTTGACCGATGACAGCCACGCTGACCATCGACGCGACGTAGTCGCTCAAATCAGCTCCATCGAACTCCTTCTCTCCGTCGTCCATGACTCCGGTTTCGGTTTCTGTAGAGTATAGGAGTTCAATTTTTGTCATGAGAGCTCCTACTACGTCCATTACGAAAACGTTAAAATAGTCCCTGAGGATCTCGTCATCGTACTCTCGAGTGCATGATGGTGTGGAAAACTGTACTTGCTACTCGGGAATACAAACTGTTATGACATCAAAACTAGAAAATCGTCATGGGCTGTCGTTGAAAACTACAAATATTTCCCAGACGACGGAGGTGCCGATAGTTGTTATTATTCTGGCCAGCGAGTACGCACACGATTATGTTCTGATCGGTTGGCGTTAAGATTTCGTTTATTTTTTCAAATCCATTATTATTGATACCTATATAATATTATAGGTACCTATATACACGCGTATTGGTAAAATAATATATTATATTATAATATTTTAACGAGTAATCGTGTTTCGGTTTGTATTTGGTGTACTTCAGCCGTAGGCGCCAATTTTGGGGGGGGGGCTAAGCCCCCAAAAACTTAGGACATACAATTTTTAAATGCTATATTGCAATGGCCTGCTTGCCTTTAATATATTCAGCCCCCCCAAGTCAAAAGTTGAAATTGCGTCTATGATCATACCTTATCGACCATCGAGACAAATATACGTTTTTCCATTATTTTGTAATTAACCTACCTATTAAACAGAATACAGCATGATATGGACTAGTTACATCTAAAAATAAATTGGTTTGTTTTTTGTAAGTTAGTGTGTTTATTTTAGTTGTATTGAGCATAATATTAAATATTATTAACATATTATTATATTATGTAAAAACATTTTAAGATTATTAAATTTTGGTTTCCTATTTTAGATTTTAGATTTAAAGTTGGTTTTATCAATAAAATACTACCTATGCATAGAATTTTTTATTTGTTCTTTACCTACCTATATGCATTTAAATATAAAATCCATTACATAAATAAATAAAATAAAGTTTATATTCAAGAGATGAAAATGTTGAATGGCCTGGAGGAAATTTATTTTCCTGACCGGAATTTTTTTCCCACCCCGCACCTGGGTTAGGTTAGGTTACCTATGTGTGAAGTGTTACCTAAATTTTATTAGAAATTTTAATATAAACGATATTAATAAAAAAAAACTTTTAAAACTGGGACTTTATAATTAGTTGAATCCGAAAAATTTTCTTTAGCTTTAGGTATTTGTATATATTTTTTTGGAGAGTAGACAGAGTTTAATACTTTACACAATATATGTTGTCTACACACTTTGATAAATGTAAAAACATAATGTTTCATATTTGTATTAATTAAACCATATAGGACATTGGTATTAATAGGTACATGTTAAAGCAGTGTTTCCCAACCTATATGGGTCGATAATTTGAGATATTCCTAAATTATAATAAAAAAAAAAACTATCTTGATTATATATTATAAAGAAAAAAAATGATTTCAGCCATCAATTTATTAAAAAAAGTTAAGGTTTATTTTATTTGATACTTCTATGATACCTGCGTATAATAGTGAAGTGTACTGGGCCGTATTTATACATTTTACACCCCAGGGTATAAAATTGTTCGGCGCCCATTTTGAATAGGTACATTTTTTTGTATCATAGTAAATTAGTATGGGTAATGATGGTGGCAAAACTTTTTTTTTAACGAGGGATCATCATATTATTAATTTCTGTTGTATATTTATTTATTTTTAAGCATAAGTAGGTACCTAAATATTTTAATTTAAAAACAATCTTTATATTTAACAGAATTAAGTATTCATCATGCAGTACGTATTGCATTATATTAGTATCAGAGGCGGAACTAAGAATTTTTACACCCAGGGAAAATATTAAAATTAAGCCCAATCATAGACCAAGATTGAAAATACAATATCATTCCCTACAAATTGTTTTATCATAACTGGAACTAAAATTACAAACATACTTATTAACTTTTAAACACATAATAATATATAGTAATTAATATATTCTGTGGACTGTGGTGTAACCAAGTTTATACTAATAAACTATCACACCAAAAACACTTTAAATTTAAAAACTTAGTTAACATATTGTTGATACATTTTTAATTACTGGAAATACTGTAGTGGTTACTTAATTGTATTTATTATTAGAAATAATAATAATATTAGTTATATATAAATATTGAAAAATAATCAAAACTTTAATTAGGTACCTACCTATCCTGTATAAAAATTGTAAACACTTTTGCTGTTTTGGTTCTATGCGCCTCAGCCTTCAATTATAATAGATTTTTATGGTAAAATATAAAATCTTTTATTCTGATTAGGGTACACAATTTAGGCCAGTAAAAAATTGTATTTAATTAAACAATTTATAATAGAAAAAATGAAAAAGTAAATATTTAAAATCAAATCTTTTTTTTAAACATAAACAAATGTATAACTATCTTGGTAAATATTATAAACTATAATATATTAACATCATTTTTAATATACAGATATAATATACGATTGATAATCTTATAACAGTTATTGTGTAGGTATCAGAAATTTTAACGAAAACACAGCATCAATAAATGCCTAGGTATAGTTACTAGTTACATTTTCACTCAGTATCTTAATAATTATAGTATATTAGTTGTATATGCTTGCAGTAGGTATGCTAATGCGGCATAATGTGTATCCCATGGCTAATTTTTTCCATTGCGCTAGTCATCGTTTAAATTTGGTAATAAATGATTTGAATTCTCTTGCTGAAGTTAGAAATTGTATAGGGAAAATAAAAGAAGTTACTACATTTGTTAGAGATAGTGCACTTCGTAGAAATATTGTAGGGAGTCATTTGACAAAATTATGTGAAACAAGGTTCGTTGAAAAACATAAAAGTATCAGACAATTTAAGGACCAATATGTAACAATTGTTGAAGGCTTGGAAGAAATATCAAAATCTAATAATTTCAACAGCAAAACTAGACAACGTAGCTATGAAATGCTTACTGCAATCACTACTCCAACATTTGTTGTAATATTATCAATCATGGCAAAATATTCTGCGAAATTTGAAACTGTATCAACACTTCTTCAAGCGGTAGATGTTGACCTGCAAGAAGCTACAAAACATATTCAAGACCTTTTATCAATGTTAGAAATAGACCGTAATAATTGTGAGAATCGGTTCAATACAATATTTAATGAAGTAAAATTAGTTGCTTCTAAAATAGATTTGGAGTTAAAGTTACCACGGCGTAGTATTAAACAAGTACATCGTGAAAACTATCCAACTAATGATGTTGAGATATATTTTAGACAATCATTATTTATACCATACTTGGAATCAATTATAATGTCTCTAAAAGATAGATTTTCAGATGAAAAATTAAAAATATTTACATTATACAACCTACACCCAAAAAAAATGAAACTAATGAGCGACCAAAAATTCATAGAAAGTATTGAAGTTATTTGTACACTTTATGGTTCACTTCTAGACAATTTTAAAGAACAAGCATTGTCATGGTATGATCTATGGAAAAATAAAGAAGTCGAACCCACCATGAAATTAATTGATGTTCTCGATTACGCCACATATTACCCAGCGGTATGCCAAGCTATACAAATTGCAATTACTTTACCTGTAACTTCCTGCTCAGTAGAACGATCGTTTAGGTACGGTTTTTAAATCAGTATTTTTACAAATTGTATTCAGTGTATAAGTTCATACTTAAAATAACTTTTTAATTATGTTTCAGCACTTTACGCCGTTTAAAGACTTGGATTAGAAATAGGATGGGAAACGAAAGACTGAGTAGCTTGGGGTTGATTAATATACACCGCCAAAGGTATGATCATAAACAATTTTTGAATCAACAAATTGATGATTCAATTAATTTGTTTGCTTCAAACAAAAGGAGATTGTCATTACTTTTTGAATAATAATAATAATATGATAATATGATATAAATTAAATTAAATAAAGTGGTTTTTTGTTTAAAATGTATTAAGTATGTTCTTTCTTATAAATATTAGAACTAATAGTGTAATTTTATATAAAGTTAAATTTGTTTTTATTTAAAAAAAATTTTGTTTGCCCCCCCTGAGCTGCATCTCTGCGGGCGTGCCTGCTAATGCCAGTATATACTTAGTATACTATAATACGAATCTATTCATAATCTTACTATTAACTTTATTTTTTTTTTTTTCATTAATTCCAACGTCATCATTACAACAGTACAACATCATAAACAAATAATGTGAAATAAAAATGTTTTCTTAACTTCTATCACCAAGCATTAAATAAAGAACTAAAGAAAAATTACGCCCACTAAAATTTTACGCCCGGGGATCAATCCCCGGCTTCACCCCCCTAGTTCCGCCCCTGATTAGTATTAAATGAAAACATTCATTATAATAAAAATTATTAATAATACTATGTTGTGGTAAACATGATCTTTGTTTTTTTTTTTTGGGGGGGGGGGTCGAGTCCCCAATAAAGTTTAAAAACAATTCAAAATAAAATTAGCACTCTCCATGCGCCAGTTTGTTTAGCCGACTCACCCCATGAAATTGTTAAACGGGAGTATAGATTTGTATTTGTGGGACACCATTATAAAAAAAGGTTGGGAAACACTGCGTTTAGTATTATACTATTATTAATACATAGTTTATTATAGGTACAGTTGGTATTTTCGATTTGTAACATTGACGAACTATTCAATACAACATTGTTGATTTGAAGTAAATTTAAAAAATGTTGTTCAATATCATACAAATCTATCATTTTTGATCAATAAATATATATTTATATAATACCAAAAAAATAAAGGATTTAAAATTACTTGTTTATGTAAATTGTCAAATAAAAAACATGCCATCATGTATAATTGAAACGAAAATAAAGAAATTAAGCAAATATTTTTATTGTTGTAACTTCCGAAGCCATAAATATTTCCTTGGTGGTGAAACTCTAAAATCATTAAATTTCCAATAAGTTTATAACCACAAATGTGTTAATATATATTAAATACTAAACATACGTGAACTAAAATTGAATATTATATTAATTTTATAAGCAATTGAACAATGGAAAATTGGAAACGATTAATCATAATAATATACTTTAACGATATATTTTATTGATTTTATCAACAAGAATAATTAAAAGAACGTGTTTATAAATTATTATATAAGTGTAATTTTAATATTTTATAAAACATTTTGTAATAAGTAAGTATTTTTTTTACCATTATGAAGATAAACCAAATTACGATGAGATATTGACGAATAAAAAACTTGGAACAACATTAATCGTTTGAATATAGTTTAGTTCATAATATTTCCTGAAAAATAAATTGGCAGAGCTGTGTTAAGGCACCCAATGGTAACATTTTGGAAGCAATCTATCCACCTATCCACCTCAATATAGGCGTATATAGGTGAGATTTTGAGGAGTAAACATTGTGCATAAATGATGTGAAAAAAAAATTAAAATACGCATTTGGGAGGGAAGATAAAGTCCAACTAAAAATAGTTAATTCTAACCAAGCCAAAACTTTTCTTATCTCCAATTGAAAGAAAAAATGAAAAACAATATTTAGGATCATATACTTTATAAAAATCATTATAGGTATATTTAATAAACTGAGTAGGTACCTACTGATTGTGGTATACCTAGTAAATAAGGTAAATTACTGTAGTAATCCTGATTATTGCAATCTACATACCTAGGTGATAATGTAAAATAATTTTCAACTAATTTTCTTGTCAATTATACTATGCGTGCGTGCTCCATAACTTAGCCTAACCGAGGATTCCTACTCCCTATATGTTCTCTACTCTCCAACACAGCCTTGAATAAAGCCGTAAAAGTTAATATATAGTAAAAATGTTACCAGAAAATCTGTCATCCATTTAGGTGTATAAAATAAAGTCAAACAATATTGAACATTAAAGATAAAATAATTTTAATATTATTATTATAGCATAAAAATGTTTAATTTTAAACAGATATTGAGCTTAAAAAAATCAATTTTGTGAATAATGATACATAGGTATTATTTATTTATGCCATTAAAATATACAATTTTAGTAGACTTAAACTAAACGTTTTCTATAATATATTATAATCGCATTATTCAGCAACAACCAAAGTCTGTTATTGATATACAGTGTTAGGAACAGATAACAAAATATCATCTGGATAGAGCTGATCAAGATAACAACACTACATTTTATCTAAGATATAGATAAAAAGAAACAAATCAAAACCATCCAATAAAAGAAAAAAGAAAAAAATATTTATCTAGATAAATTACAGATGATTATAGAAATTAAAATTAAAATAACTAATTTAAAAAATATATACATCTTACGGTTACATGCCTGTAAAATATTATGTTTATTTTCTTCATAATTTATTACTTCATGTTGTGTATCACCAATAGCACCTCACGTATTTTCTTGTCAGACTTATCAATTGAGATGAATATCAGGATATTTCAATGTGAATCATACTCTTGTTCAGCGAGAGAGCACGCCGATTCCCTCCACGTCGCCATGCTATCGAAACCGGTTTCCCAATAGTAGGGTGTTGCGTGGGGGTATCAGTTTTCGTCGGTGCGCGGCGTGATCTCTATAATAGCTGAACTGAGTATATTATTTATTATTTATATTAAGGGGATACGATACCGTGATTTTCTGTTTTTGTCTAACACACGCGCGACATAGTATTTTAGATGTGTTTTTTGCCAAACATACCAATTGATCTAATGAAGCGATAAGAATTCTGAAAACAGATTTGAATTTGTTGTCAAGTCTACTTTAAATCGACTTTCCCACATTTTTGATATTATCCCCAAAATGTTTTAAAATGTCATATTCAAAAAGAGTATTTAAAAATTCTGTTATTTCAATTTTTTGAGAAGTTAAAATCAAAAAATCAAAAATTTGGGAAAGTCGATTTCAAGTAGACTTGACGACAAATTCAAATCTGCTTTCAGAAATCTTATCGCTTCAATAGATCAATTGGAATGTTTGGCAAAAAACACGTTTAAAATACTATGTCACGCGTGTGTTAGACAAAAACAGAAAATCACGGTATCGAATCCCCTTAATTTCAGATGATCGTATAGAGGACGACGGTGATTATAACTTGTCGTCTGTTTCTATTATTCGTATTTTAATTATAATTTAAAAATATTTATAAAACTCTGGGAAATAACATCGGTCGCGAAAGTAATATACTAACATAGGCTATACTTATATAAATAAATTAGTGAATTTTATATATATTTGTAATTCTATTTCTGTTATTCAGTAACCAATAAGATGATCGATTTTCTCTAAGTAAGGAAATTTGTATTAATATACATAATACAAACTTACATTAAACATACATACCTAAATAAGGAAAATCGATATTTTAATAATCATTAGTTTCTTCAAGTTTGTATAATACATAATACACTGACACATATTATAATACATACACAAACACCCAACCTACATAACAAAGACGAGTAGCTGGACCAACGGTTGTTATATAATATTGTTGTATAACAACACGTTTCCAAAACGGCTATACAACAGTGGTACCACTGTTACATATTTATAACCGAATACAGAATATTAATTACTAATAACTATATAATATAAGTAACAAGTAACATTTTAATTATTCTCAACATGTCATTAAAATCGACAATATATAGGTAAGCCCTTCAAATAGCGGGTGTATGGGGTCGATGTGTTGAGTGAACCATTTCAATACGTACAGATCAAAGCTATGTACTTTACATAAATTAAATAAGTGTATTAATTTTCCATAGTACATGTTAAAAAAATGAGGTACCTAATTAGACCAGTCATGAGTACCTACGACCTACATATTGATGATTCCTTTACATTTATAAGAGTGTATATCTATGTGTTTTTATATACAATATCCGTAAGTATTCACTTATTATATGTACTTATATAGCAGACAGTCCATATACTCACCAACAATTTTAGTATGAGGGTCACAGAGCGATTTATATCCGACAGACTCGAACTTGGCGTGAACCACTTGAAACTGGCAAGATATGGCCAGGCACAGTGTCACTAGAAGAACATCGAATGCGGTGAACAATGTTGCCAGGCCGACGGTGAACAACATCTCGATGAAGTAAAACGTTTTGTAGTGCGAGTTGTAAGTTTCGTCAGTTACTATTAAATACAAATTTATTATGTTCTAACGCTTATATAACTTACTATATAAATTATTCAAATGTAAACACATCACGCGGGTCTTAAATGTTCTAAATAATACAGAGCATAAATGCATAGTATTATACCTTCTGGCTTCGACACAGCCAGTTGCATAACCTTTTTTTTCTAATAAATGTATTGTTTGTATACGAAAGTCGAAACTTAGTTTAATTTATACTTAAACCCCTCTCCCTTTCATAATCCTGGTAACTCCACTACACACGCATTTTTCTCAATACCTATCTGAGGAAACCTTCAACGAATTATTGGTACTTGTACGGCTATACCTACCTACTTGTTTCGTTTTTAGGGTTCCGTAGTAAAATACGGAACCCTTATAGATTCGTCATGTCTGTCTGTCTGTCCGTCCGGGTGTCACAGCCACTTTTTTCCGGAACTATAAGAATTATACTGTTGAAACTTGGTAAGTAGATGTATTCTACGAACCATATTAAGATTTTCACACAAGAATAGAAAAACAAAATAGATTTTGGAGGTTCCCCATACTTAGAACTGAAATAAACTATTTAATAAATTGAAATATTTTAAAGTGAATAATAATTAATAATACATTATTATTTACTTTTAAGGTGCTACAAAATACAAGTGCAGGTACAATAATTGAATAATAAATTATTATATGACTTATCTCGTATATCACCGCATATAATTACGATAAAAAAAACTAA